GGAGGGGCCAGGTCTCAGAAAGATACCTGTTAGAAAAATACTTTAATTGTGGATAATATTTCAGTGGTATTTCAGATCTTGGGATCTGAGCACCTAGGCACATTAATGAAGTTATTCTTACAACAGATCCAGGAGCTTGGGAGTCTCATTATCCTGATGAGGATTTAAGGCTCAGAATAAACAAGTGACTTGTCTATGAGAATCTATCAGAAGCAACAGTAGACCCATAGATCACCAGAGTCACAGTCTGGTACCCAGTCTAAAAGATTGTCCTTCCTTCCGCACTGCACAGAAGAACACTGGGCCTTACAGATACAGATTTCTATAACCTCGTCTGCTCAAGTTCCTACATGTCCAGGTAGATGGAATGTGCCATGCCTGAAGGCTTTCTCCTGTCCTTGGACTAGAGGCAATTATAGCTGCTTTGGGGATCTACCCTAACTTGAAGGTCTTATTTAGCAAAAGCCGGGTAGGAAATGGGTTTACTTCCTCTAATCCATTCCAGGAGAACATATTTCGGGAGCACATCTAAGGTTTCTTTAGTGTGGTCAGACATTAGGGAGTTAGAAGGACAATGATATTCTGTGATTTATGTCAGGTTTCATTTTCCTCTTTCTTCTCCATCTAGCTGTCCCCCATCTGCCCTTGTCAAAGAGGTGCTGAGCAGCGTACAGAGACTGACTTTCTATGGATTCCTTATGGCTCTTGCAAAGCATCATGGGATCAATAGAACTCTAGGTAAGGGGAGGAACAGAGCCCTATGGATATGGCCGTAGGTTTCTCCTGGTTCTGTATTTTTTTGTGGAATTTGCTATACAATCAGCAGATTTTAAATTGTCATTGAAAATAAAAGATCTCCCTCCCTTATGGTCACAGATGAAACTTCATGAAACAGTCCAATGCAGCAACGATGTCTGAGTCTGCAGAGTAACCCAAACAATAGGCCTAGAGAGGTATTGAGATTTTAAGTGTTGACTGTAACATCTGTGATAATATTGCTATTTACTTTGGTTTTTTAAACTATAGAAATAGCCATCTCATTTAATGTGTTTATCCATTAACGTTGGAAGGCACAGCTCAGTCTGACAGCTGATTGCTCTCAGAAGTTGTTAGAGTGGGGAACTGAGTTCAAGTCCCCCTTTTCCCAAATGTTAAATGACCTGCATCTTTAGCTCCAAGTGAAAAAGAAGGGAAAAACGCATCCTCATCCCCAGTACCTCCTTGGGGCCAAAATCCGAACTGCCTCAGACCTTCCCAATTGTCTCCCACCCCAACTGCCTATGCCTCTAGATTTCCTATATAATTCCTACAAGCAGAGCCCTCTCTAGCAATATGCAAAACATGCAGGTGCCTGGGGCACCATGAAATTTGGGGAATCAAATTGCCCCAAATTCCTTAGTGCCCTATGCATCTGAGTGCCTAGGCCCCCAGCACCAGCGCCCCTCTGGAGTGGCGAGCAGTGGGAGTGCAGACCAGAGAGCTCATGAGAAGCAGAGGGAAGTCACTCAGCCAGTGGCTGGAGAGAAGTAGCAGTTTCCCCTTCAAAGCACTGCTTCTCTCCAGCTGGCGGCACAGCCATCATCTGCTTCTCCTGAGCCCTCTGGCCTGTGCTTGCACCATTTGCCACTGCCCACACTTGCTCCTCTGAGGCTGCAGGTAGGCCTCCCTCCCTACCCTTCTCTAGGGCTACCAATTCTCCCAGATCGCATGCAGTTGCAGTTAATTGCATCCAGTCTGGGAGAGTTGCCAACCCTAGCTCCTGCCCTCCACAGTTTCTGCTCCCCCCCCAACTTCTGCCCCACATCCGCCCTTCCTCATGGATTGCCTGCTCTCTCTGTGGGTGGTGGGCTGCATAGGGCACCAGCATTAGTAGGGATGACCCTGCCTCCAAGGCAGTTATATGTTGTCAGTACAAAAACCTGTGTCATATTGAAAATGTGGGACCAGGGTAAAATACACTGAATACCAGAAAAAAAGGCATAATGGAAACTGAGCTGGTTGGCTTTTTCATAGTCATATTTAATGTAGTCACATCCTTCCATTGTGAACAAACTTGAAGCTGGGTTGGAATGGAGTGGGGGAAGTTGGCTGTAAAATGTCAGCTCAGTTTGGTACTAACTCAGTCCATTCCTCTATTGAGCATGTCAGTGGTATCCAAAAGCTAAAGGCTGTGCCTCATGTGTATAAATTTTAAACTCTTTATTTCATGCAAACCTCCTGTTCCTTGCTTAGTCTTCCTGTTCCCTTCCTGCAAAAATGAACAGAGTTCACTTGGTGATGGAGTTTAGCAGTGCTGAGTCTGTAACTCCAAGGCTGTCTCGAGGTTTAGGAGGAATACCTGGATCCCTCTTAGCCTCCATATGATGGGACCAAATCAACAAGACTTCCATCCCACTAGACAGTTTCTCTCTCTAGTTCCAAGTCAGAGAACTCTAGTTCCATATTTCAAAGAAGAGCCTCAATGGAAAGTAGCTTCCCCTGCCTGAAACACCTCTTCACACAGGTGTGTGTCTTGGCAGAGAGTAGAATTGTTCTCTCCCTGTTTGAGCCTCCGCCCTCTACAGATTATTTGAGCTGTGAATACTCCTTTGAGGCAGAGCTGTTTATCCAGCAACACAGAGATTATATATCAAAGAGACATGAATACAACTCAACAATCTCCTCTGCAAACAGACTTTTAGAAAACAGTGTGTTCAATGGAGAAGGTGAAGCCTGGATTGCACCAAACAAGGTTTGACCCCCCAGCTCTGTGAAATCCACTTCCAGCAAGGTGAAAAGAAAAGAGATGGGCTGAGAAAGCCCTGCCCACAGCTTCCATTGAATCATGTTCAAAGTGTGTGGGTTTTCCTTTCCATTAACACAGGCCTGAGCTCTGGCCCTCTGCCAGCCTCCTGCTGAGGCCTCTCATGGGAGGGGCAGCAGCCGCACTAACAGGTGCAGCATCTTGGCAAGGAAGAAGGATTCTTCTCCTACTGTCTTTTAAGCTTCCTTACATGATGATTTGAAATAGTCTTTGGGCTGCAGGGGATCACAGGCTCCCCGATGCCCTGCAGCAAGGGCAGTTCCAGGCGAGAGCTTCAGAAGCAAAGGAGCTTTCAATTAGGGCCCTGTATTTTCTAATCTCATTGAAGCCTCGCACGAAGCCGCCTAGTAGAATAGGGATGGGGATTAGAGTGGTTTATTCTGACTGGAGAACCGCTGATGTGTTTGTCAGGCAGATTGGAATCTACAGCCTAACTCCAGGGTCAATATTGAATCATGAATCCCTTTGACTGTTATTTACTAACTCTCCCAAGTAATTTAAGTGCCCCAAAGACTTCACTGCACATTTTGCAAATGCAGAAAAAAGTCCAGGCTTTATATAACAACTTCTTCTAATTGATTGAGCCCACTGCAAGCAGCAGGTTGGAACACTCCATTCAGCTCCTGGGCTTCGCTGTCATGGTAGCAGGCGCACTAGAGCATTGGGCATTTCTGGTGTTGTGGGTTCTTAGTTGGTGCCCATCACTGTCAGGGCTCTGTCAGGGCCCTTGTACAGGAGTACATGAATCCCCAGGCCCCACCTATCTGGGGAACAAGAGACTGGGCCATGAACCAAATCCAGGTCTCCCACATGGTAATATAAAGCACTTACCCTAGGTTCTAGGTTTTGTGCATAGCAGAGCATTCCTCAGTGAGCCATTGGTCCAGTTCTGCAATTGTTCTGAAGCCTTGTTTATTCATGGAGTTTTGCTGTGGCACTGTCCTGGCCAGGACAAAGCAGTTCCTATCCTCTTTGTGTTGGCCTGGCCCATGTCCTTCCTGGATCTGTGTCTGGTAGGAAAAGGGAGGAGAGAGTTAAGTACAGATTTAGAAGAAAGAGACTTTTTAACAGGCACCTGCCCTCCTTCTCTGTGTGAATTAGGGATGTTAGAAAGCGGTTATTTTAATAATTGAGTAACCGCTACATTTCTTAGCAGTTACACAGTTAGTCACTACTCCTGGGGCAGGGCTGGCAGCCAGTGCATTCCTGGCTCCACTCCCAAGGAGCCCCCTGCCATCCTGTGCTACCTCTATATCAGAGGCATGGGGCACCAGCAGCATGGGGCAGCTTCCTGTGCACAAGAGGACCCGAGCTCCTCACAGACAGAGGCTGCTCCAGAGGCAGCAGCATGGGGTGACAGGTGGTCCCTTAGTGCTCTTCATTGAAAACTCAGACCAGCGGTCTGGGACTGAGCCAGCCTGCCAGTCCAAGTTTTAAATGCAGAAAGTGCCGGGGGGAGGGAGGGGGAAGTGAATTGGGACTGTTAACCGATAATCATTTATTGGCCAAATAGCCGCTAACATCCCTAGTGTGAATCCAGAAGCTTTAACAGGCATAGTCTCTATGGCATCCCTCATCCCAAATAGGGATATTCCAGCCCCAGTTAACAGGCCCTAGCCAATATCCTGGTCTTACAGTGAGAAATGGGGAGATGATTGCTGACTTACCCTACTGGGCACATTGCTCTCTCACCATCCTGGCAGCAGATGCTAACAAAATGTAGCCCATCCATTTATCTTTACTTCCTGAGATCTCATTGAAAACCAGGGTTGGGCCTGACAGCCCTCCTGTCCCTGGGAATAAACTAGAGGCAGAGCCAGTCTTAGGGGTGGGTGAGCCGGGTGGTTGCCCAGGGCTGCCATTTTCAAGGGGCCACCAACAGAGCTGGTCTTAGGGGCAGGCCGCAACTGCATTCTGGGGTTTGTGGTTTTTGTCGGCTCGACAAATTTTCCCCGGCGTTTTTTTTTAAACCATCTGGCAACCCTACGGGCAAGCCGAGCAGTCCTCACTAGAGGTGCTGTCTGAGGTGTGGAATTGTTTAGCCCCAGGCTTGAGCTTCCACAAGCACTGACAAATCTGCTCTTGTAGTCACAATTTCTGAGGCTTTGTCAATGTCTGCACTTCTAAAATTAAAGTGCAGCAGCACTTTAAAGTGAAAGGGTGACCATAGCAGGAGCTCTGGAAGAGAGCTCTCCCAGCACTCTAGGCAAACCACCTCCACAAAGGGAATAGCTAACAGTGCTGGGCTTGTGGGTCCCAGCGCTAGTCCGATTTAAACTGGCATTTTACAGCGCTGTAACTTGCTGTGCTCAGAGGAAGGACCTTCACACCCCTGAATCAGAAAGTTACAGCACTGTAAAGTGGCAGTGTAGACTTAGCCCAAATCTCAGATTCAGCCTGTTGGTATGCTGTAACTGCTGAGTGTAACCAGTCAGAGGCATACTTAGCTCTAATGCTACTTTGTGCCTGCAGAACAGAGTCAAAGCTCTCATAGTGACCTTAGTTTCTAAACTTTGCTGCATTTGGCAGTGAACCTTACACTGTTATTTTGCAGATTGGCTGGGACTCCCAAACATACCTGTGTGACCTGTTTGGCTGATCCGCTTTTTCCCTTCTTTCTGTGTGGTAGGGAAGCCCAGCATGCACTGCCCCATGTACTGTAAATACTGCTCTCTGGGTAGTCAGTCTGCTGTGTAGGACTATGGAATAGTTGCCTAGATTTTCTCAGAATGTGCTGATACCAACTCATAGGCAGCTCGGTGAGTGTGACTCTGCAAACACAGCTGACACATGGCTGTACTGTGAAAAAGGTTGCTCTGCTGTACCAGCAGAGTGTGTGCCATGCAAAGGTCACAAAGACTGCTATGCCTTAGTGCAGACAATGCTTTACATTCAGTCTGAGCTGGGCTGTCAGTGAACAGAATACAGCTACAGACCAGGTGGAAAAGCAGGCCTCCTCTGTTTTGTAGATCTGATACTGAATAGCTCTATGGCACAATGTCCTTGAACTCTATTGTGTTTGGAGCCTGTTCTCGCATGCCAAGCTCTGCAGTGAGCATTTTCTTGTTACTGTTTTCCCAGGGGCTCTGCCAGATAAAGGAGACTTGCTTCTCGACCCTCCCATGGATCAGGAATTGGAGAAATTGTAAGTGTCGTTGTCCAGAGTGGGAAGGAAGATGGCAGATCCAAGGCAGCAAGATGGGAGCCTGGGGTTGGGAGTTGTCCCCTTGCCTATCATCCAGCCGCAGGGCAATGGAGCAGTTCACGAAGCTGCCCTTCAGCATGGCCATTTTGTGGAGTATGCCTAGGTGTAGCAGACTAAGTCATTGGGATGGTCTTCAAACACAGAGGAGAGCCTGTTTGCAGGGAAAGACAGAGGCAGTGGAGAACCCCAAGGGAAGGACCTTTCATTGAGGAGGCTTAAGTCTCATGTAGTGGTGAAAACACCAGGACTATTAGACGAGTAGAGGGTTTCTCTTGGGGACAGGGACTTAAGAATGGGCATCCTGGATCAGTCTCGTGGTCCATCTAGCCCATTATTCTGTCTTCTGTGAATAAACAATGCCAGCTGCTTCAGAGAGAACGAAAAGAGCAATTATTGAGTGATCCATCCCCTGCCATCTAGTCCCAAAACTTCTGGCAGTCAGAGATTTAGGGGCACCAGAGAATGGGTTGCGTATTGAAACCCAGACAGAATCCATCTCCCAGGTGCTATTGCAAAGTATTCCCTGGTAGAGATGTAAAAGGTTAACCGTTACTTGGTAAGCATTAGCCTTACCAGCATGCTTACCTGGTAACCAGTTAATGCGCAGAAGGTGCAGTTCCCCCCTCCCCCCCCCGCCACAGCGCAGCTGACAGGACCTTAGCTGGCCAAAGCAACCCTGCCACCTCCAGAAGGCTGGTTGGACTCTAGGTAACCAGTTAAAATTATATTGTTTAACCAGTTAACGTTTTAAAAGGGTATTTACATCCCTATACTGCTGTAAGCATCTTTCAATGTGTTACAGAACTAGTGCTGTGAGATTGGCCTGGTGATCCTATCTTTAGCTTGCTCCAGGGCAAGGGATGGATATAACAGATTAGGCCACCTGGGATTTGTCATTTCTCTTTCAGACTCTCTCAGGTTTCAGGGCTCTCCATCTCCACTCCATCCAGCTCCAGTGGGGACATTACCAACCTGTCTGCCCGCAACTCCTCCAGAATGACCTCCCCTTGGAAACCTCTCCACCACCGCCAGAAAGTGGATATAGAGGGTGATGGCTCCACCGATGAGACAGACTCCTCTGAGAACTAATCCTCCTCCTAGCTTCCCCTAGACTGGTGGGGATGTAGGGGGAACAGCACCTTATCTTGGATAATGAAAGGTGATGGGCATTCCCTCTGGAGATGAGTCCTACCTATTGTGCACTGCATGTAGGTGCCGGTACATCCACACTGTTCCCCATTACTAGGCAGGCCAGTCCCATGCTAGGCAAGATACCACCATTCTCCTATCCCTTAATTAGCTGAGGAATCACTCCTCCAGAGGCCACACCCAGCCATAGAGTTATGCTGCCCTCTGCTGGCAAACAGGACAAAAATCTTTCTCTACTCAGAGCGGTAAGAAAGTCTCCCATTGTTGGTCTCACACTGGGGCAGATGGACAGGTGCTAGCAACAGAGAGTGGGTGTTTTGTTGTATAACTTTGCTTAGTTCTGATGTAAAAACAATTTGGTGATTTACAGCTGCTTTTTTCCCAGGGCAGGCAGTGTACTAGTGCTTCTACTATAATTATTCCTGGCAGAACTGCACCTGTGTTACTACAGTAGCAGAAGTTCATAAAATTAGGAAAGATATAGTTGCTGACCTCTTCACACCATCTCGTGTTTTCTCCTTGCTCAAGAGATGCCAAAGTAAAAATACATTAGATTTCAGTTAATAAGTACTACAGTATTGCAGTACTCCTGTTGTAGTTCATATGTAGGGCTCATGTGTTGTACTAGGTTATCCTTTCAAAAGGCTTCTTTCTCGAGGCTGTCTTCCTTGGACCACCTTCTCTATAATTACATCTTCTAGACTCTAGATTCTAGAGAGAAGAATCCACTATCTTCAATCCAGTATCTGGGATGACACAGGATATCAATTCTCAGGTCACAGACCTACTGGGCTATAAACATATAGGCTACATCTACACTACAGGCTTCTTGCGCAAGAACTGTTTTGCGCAAACTGCCATGTGCTTTTGCGCAAGAGCATCCATGGCAGTGTGGATGCTCTCTTGAGCAAGAAAGCTCTGATGGCCATTTTATCCATAGGGGTCTCTTGTGCAAGAATCCCCTGTTGCCGGTCCACACTTCCTTCTTGCTCAAGAGGGCTTATTCCTCAGGGGGAGAGGAATAACTCTCGCACAAGAAGCCCTCTCTTCTGATACTGAACAGCTGTTCTTGCACAAAAAGCCTGCCGTGTAGACGTAGCCATAGTGTTTTAGCTGTTGTGTTAGTAGGATGGAGTGTTGGAGAACAAGGAGAAAGAAAAGGCATGGGTTAACTTGACTAACCTTCAGTTACCTGTTGTGAGAGTGCAGGCATTAACAGAGCAGTAATGGAGCAAACATCAGTTGGATTCTGTTCCTAAAAGAATGGATCCCCCCATGAATTATTGCTAATCAGGCTATAGAACTATAGCAGCTTGGCCTCCACTGCCCTGGATGTCTAAACTGAGGGAATTGAGTTTGGCATTTCATAAATTTGTCTGGGTCTGCCTCACAGACCAGTTAGTTCCTCAGGGTTTCACTTCCTGCTGCTCAGGAAGTCCTTCCCTCTTCCCCTTCACAAAGGTTTGTGAGGTACAGAACAAATGGAGCAGTTCATCTGAGATTTGGGACTAAATTGGGCAATGTTACACAGCCAAAAGTTAGGCTTCATTTAGTGGCACCAAATGGACTTGGCCCTTGAGTATTCTGTTATAAGAATAAGCATGTTCAACTCCTCCCCAATCTGTGCCCCTGCCCCAGCCCCAGCATAAAAGAGCTGGTAGGTAAGTTATATATGTACTGTAATGAATTTTATTTAAACTTCTGTAACACTCCTAGCTGTCATCTGAGTCTCTACACAATCCAGGGAATAAAACACTTAGTGCCAGATGAGTAGAGTCTGGGGTTCCCACTTTGCTGTGTCAGCTCTGAAGTCAGCACCCCCAAATGCATTAGCCAATGCAGCTCACTCACAGCACTGCATTTGCTGAATAAAGAAAGCAGTCAGAGCATCAGCTTACCTAAGTGATAGCGTAAACCCTGCAAATCGACAATAAGGAGCCAATGAATGTGGAAAGCCTGATCCCAAACAGTGCAAAAACATGGGAGGGTGTCCACATTCTCTGGCTGTGCAATGTGAGCAGTTTCTGGCCTATCCTTACTGTGCCAGGTTGATATTAGACAGGGTCTTGGCTTCCACCTTACGTTGTACTACATGGAATGCACGGACAGAGCTCAATAAAAATACTTTTGAATACCAAAACTTTGTTTTAAAAACCAGGTGAAATTTCTGACAACACTGTACTTACAGTTTATAAACAACATACAAGTTAAAAGCAAGGAAGGGCATGAATAATTAAGGTTCTTATACTCCCCATATATTAAACACGTGATTTTGAACTAGCACAAAGAGATGCACTGTTCATCATAAGAACCTCAACACTGGCCTATAGATTGATTATTGTTAGCTCGGCTTTGGCAGTTACAGATTTAAGAGAAGTGGCATCACTGTGGCACATACAGGACAAGCAACAACACCTCTGTCCCTATACTGGCCTCAGCACCACTGCAGAGATTAAGCTGCCCTTATCCTTTTGTGTCATGTTAAGTATGGGTCCACAATGTGTTTATATTAGGGCTGTCAAGTAGACCTGTAAAATTTCGATTATTTGGCTAATCGAATAGTTAATGAAATTTGCATTGACTATTCGATTAGTTGATAAGGGTGCCTCCACCTTTGAAGCGTAGCAATAGCCCCAGGTCTGTAGCTACACTTCAAAGGCAAAAGTGCTGCAGGGAGCACGGGGCCAGCAGGGGACTTTGTGTATAGTTGATAAGGGTGCCTCCACCTTTGAAGCGTAGCAATAGCCCCAGGTGTGTATAGTTGATAAGGGTGCCTCCACCTTTGAAGCGTAGCAATAGCCCCAGGTGTGTATAGTTTCCCCCACAGACCCTGGGTTCCATGCAGCACGTCCGCTTTGAAACACCATGTGCAGCCCAGAGAAGGTTTGAAGCACCCCCCCACTGCCTCTTTCTGATAGATAGTACGGAGAGGGGAGCAACTAGTCATTCACATTCCTTCTGTCAAGTGATTAAAAAATGACTCACATGATTAATCACAGTTAATAATAGAATACCATTTGTTTTAATGTTGAATATTTTCTACATTTTCAAATATATAGATTTCAATTACAACATAGAATACAAAGTGTACAGTACTCACTTTTTTTATTACAAATATGTGGTACTGTAAAAACCAAAAAAAGTATTTTTAAATTAATCTCATACAAGTACTACAGTACAATTTCTTTATCATGAAAGTTAAACTTACAACCTCTGGAACGGTGGCTGAAGCAAGCAGGGCAATACAAATGTTTAGCAGATCTGGCACGTAAATACCTTACAGTGCTGGTTACAAAAGTGCCATATGATCATGTTACCTCAGGGACAAAGGCAACTATAAAAATGAAGAAAACCCTGCATCTGGGTTGTTCCTGTTTCAGAAATACAAGCCTCCTGGGCAATACTGTATCTGTCACCGCCAAGGATCTTACCTAATTAGTGTAAATTAAAAACAGACACTAAAATAAGTGAACACACATATTGACAATTAACAATAATTAGGAAAAATGGGGGAAATGATTAAACAATCAATAATAAACAGCCAGCATCCATAAAGTTTAACACTTTAAAACACAGTACAGAAACTATTAATCAGGCATGAAGCCTAGACCCCACAATATCCCAGGTGTTAAGAGGAAGGAATGAGTGATCGTATAGACTCCAGACAGGAAGAAAGTTTATATTACGATGTCAATGGAAGTAAAATATAGCATGAAGCCTGGGACCTCAGGCTTTGCGCTATTTGGACGCTCGTCAGGAGGAACACCAGGAGGTCCCAGCGGAGAGATAGGTGACAACTTTGGATCCTATGATGGTAAGTATCTGCTCCAACCTTCACCATACCACTGATGGAATTCTGCAGTGCTAGGGGCTTGAGCTACCTGAAGAGTCGCATTGTCTTCACGAGGTCTCAGATGAAACGAAGGGGAGAGACACTGACTTTGACTGACAGGTGCAGGGCTTTTATTAACTCAGTGGTGCGAAAGTTCCTATGATTGACAGCCCTGTGGTGCACAACTTCTGAGGTAAAAGAATGTTCAGGAGCTTGTGGTGGAAAAATCCAGTTACAGACAGATTGACCTAGCTCTACCCTTGCTGAGGTGATCAGGCCTTTTCAAAATGGAGTCTTACAGAAATCATCACATAACATTACAACTTACAAAATCACAACAAATGCTTGTTCTTACTTTTTGATGACATTGTAAACAAGAAGCTGGCAGCAGTATCTCCCATTAATCTATTCTCAAAATGGAGTCTTACAGAAATCATCACATAACATTACAACTTACAAAATCACTCACAACAAATGCTTGTTCTCACTTTTTGATGACATTGTAAACAAGAAGCTGGCAGCAGTATCTCCCATTAATCTAAACAAACATGTTTGTGTTAGTGATTGGCAGAACATTAACTAGGACTGAGTAGACTTGTAGACTCTAAAGTTTTACATTGTGACAAGTATCAGAGGGGTAGCTGTGTTAGTCTGAATTGGCATAAATGAGAAGTCCTCTGGACCTTATAGACTAACAGATTTATTGGAGAATAAGCTTTTGTGGGCAAAGACCCACTTTGTCAGATGCATGCACTTCCCGTTGTTTATAAAGTTTTACATTGTTTTGTTTCTGGGTGCATGCAGTTTTGTACCCCTCCTCCCAAAAATCTATATTTGTAAGTTACACTTCCACAGTAAAGCGATTGCACTTCAATACTTGTATGAAGTGAATTTTAAAATATTTGTTTTGTTCATAATGTTTACAATATATGTAATAATATAAAGCGAGCACTGTACACTTTGTATTGTGTTGTAATCGATATTGAAAATGTAAAAAACACCCACAAATATTTAATAAATTTCAGTTGGTATTCTATTTAACAGTAAAATTAATTTTTTAATCACAATTAATTTTTTTGTATTATTTGCTTGAGAAGTGCGATTAATCAACAGCCCTAATTTATATTCAGTGCTCGCTTATGCAAGACTAATTTTGAGCCTGTTATGATGCATTGGCTAGTCCATTACAATTAACAGTAAAATTAATTTTTTAATCACAATTAATTTTTTTGTATTATTTGCTTGAGAAGTGTATTGCCTGACCACAGCTGCCTCAGACACTGCATGAAAGCTTTTCAGCAGCTCCTAAGGAAATCTCACTCAGCAAGCATGAGCTCAGCATTCACCCCAGCCACTTTGGGGAGGGGGGAGGGGAGTAGTTGTTTTTTTGTGTGTGGAAGGGGGCAGTTTGTGTGGCAGGAGAAGAGAAAAAAAAATCTAAGAAATAGTACCAGTACATTAGGTCTTAATGTGCTTTCCTCTGGGATTTATGGGAGTTTCTCACAATTCCCCTGCATTCCTAGAAGGCATCCAGAAACCACTGCTTTAAAAACTGAGGCTAGTCCACTGTCTTAGTTCTCTAGTAACCACTCAAAAAGTAGGTTTTGGCCCACGAAAGCTCATGATACTATATATTTGTTAGTCTCTACGGTGCTACAGGACTACTCTTTTTTTTTTTAAGTTACATCACACAACCAGAGTTCGGGCCCAAGTTCTGCTTTGCTTCAAATGCCCTGACTTACTGGTTCTGCTATAGGATGTATAAGAAGCAATAGATGCAAAACCCAGGAAGGCCTGACCTTTTGCCTTTTCAGTGCTATTATGAATCATGTCATAGAACATGAATTGCATCCTTGGCATGTGAGGTGAAGGGGATGAGAAAGATTCAGCATTGTTTCATCAATAGGGTCAGTGTGAGGGAGATACTGAAGTCTTCAAAAAGGCTTTCTGGGCATTCTGACCTCTATTACCACAGCTGTGAAGGATATGAGTGAAGAGACATGGGATATTTTTTAGGGCATGTTTACACTGCAGAATAAATCCAGAGCTCAAACTCAGGTTCAAGCTTAACCCCCTTTCCTGCTACATGCAAATTCTTCTAAACCAGGGCTCAAACCCAGCATCCCAAAACCCCATGGCTATGTTGCAAGTAACACGTGTTCTTGTGCAAGTAAATTTACAGTAGAGCATCAGAACAGAGGGCTTCTTGCACAAGAGTTATTCCTCTTCCCATGAGGAATAAGCCCTCTTGTGCAAGAGCTCTTGTGCAAGAAGGCAGTATAGACAGGCAACAGGCCTCCAAGTTTTTGGAAAGTAGTTGAGGGCCACACTCTTCCATGATATTAATGGAGATGAGGGATCTGGGATGGTGGTTGGGTGCTTGGGGGTAAGGGATTGGGGTGCAGGAAGGAGAGTGGAGTCTGGGAGGGAGTTTGGGTGAAGGAAGTGGTTGTAACATAGGGCAGGGGACTGGAATGCAGGGTTTGGGATGTGCTCTAGGGTAGGAAGGTATTGTGATCTAGAGCAGGAGATTGGGGTGCCAGATCTGAGAGGGGGTAGGGCTGTAAGAAATGGAGGGTCAAAGCCTGAGTAAAGCCAGGACCCCCAGATCAAGTCTTTTGCTTGCAATGTAGATGTAACCCATTCTGGATTAATGCACTATGGGGTATATCTACATTGCATTGTAAATCCAGGGTTAGTACAATTGAATTTAGCAGACCCTGAGTTTGTTAACCTAAGGCTTGAATGTCTACATTGATTTGTAACCCCCAGGTTAGGAACTGTTGTACCCTTGGTCCCAACATGTTGCTCCCAAGTCTATATTGCATTTTGGGGAGGCGCTCAGTCCACCCACGGACTATACTCTCTAATGCCTGCAGTGTGGAGAAAAACTGCACTAGCCAGCAAATCCTACTGTGCAGAAAACGAAATCATACTGTGGGATTGAGAGAGACTTTTGGCTGGCTCCCAGACTACTAGGCTAGTGGGGCTGTGTCAACACTGCAAAGCAATAGGGCTTAAAACCTCACTCCTTGCTTGACTCAGGTTTGGACCCTCTACCTCTGGGTCCAAGTTACTCCTGGGAGGGTACTGTGCCAAAAAGTTAAACATTTTGTCCTCAGTACTTTAAAATCTGAATATTTTATTTGCCAAAGTAACAAAATAATCACACCAGATTAAATTATTTTGGTAATTAATTTCAAAATACCTGTAAGCAAATGTCTGTAACACTAACACACACACACACACACACACACACACACACACACACACACACACAGAGAGAGAGAGAGAGATTCAGGACATGT